GCAAAATTTTTCTTAGGTTTTTCTTTAATTAAAAAAAAAAAAACACTTGGACAAAAAATATTTTCTTTAGTTAATCAAAAAGGAAAAAAAAAATATTATTTCAGGCGCAGGAACTTCTTAGATTTATTACGATTTTTTTTTTTTGTTAAAAAAATGTCCTAAATAAAAAAATTGTTTACTTAAAAAAATAATAATTTCAGACGCAGGAATTTCTTTGACTTTTTATACTCTTGGTTAAAAAAATAATTTTTTTCAGGTAGTTCTTCACAAATATTTAGGCCAATGGAAATTCTTTGTTTGTTTGATATTTTCTTACAATAACATTTTGTTAATGTCACTAAATGCTCTACACATACAAATTATAAACATATGTACATATTTATGTCTAACATGAGATATATGCACGTATGCTTGTTTGTATATGTGTGCCACTAAATTTAATAACACACAAGTATCAAATGGCAGAATTCCAAATTTAATAATAATGACAACCTCAAATATACCTGCTGTCTAAACGCGCCTGGCTGTGTGTGTGTATGTGTGAATTTGTGTATTAAAATCCAATAACAAGATATAATAATAAAAATTGCTGATTGCGTAGGCGAAACGCATTGATCGACACATATGTATACATACGACATTCGGTAAGTCTATCTGCAAGGGGTTGCGCTAGCATAATTTAGAGCCGAACTAGCCCACGAAAAGCTGGAAGCGCATCGTGTGTTCAGTTTCATTCGCAAAAGAGCGAATATTTATGCGATCTTTAGACTTTTCTATTTCCTATAACCAAATGTTTTTTCTACTTTCTTTTTCTCAGTGTGTGTGTGCATGTGTGGGTGTTTCGTGATTGCTTTTTATATACCATATGTGCATGTGTGTATTATTTCAGTTTATGATTTCCAATTTTCACTTTGTTTATCGCTTCGAAATTTCCGTATTTAGCGCTTCTTAACCGCTGCTCTCATTTTTTTTCGCTTTTTCTACGTGCTCTGACGCACATACAATATTTAACACTTATCCATGCAGCAAATTTGCTTTTTTATTAGTTTTTATGGCTGAATCGTAGTGGTTATTTTTTTTTTTTTTATTTATTTAATTTTTTTTGATTTTTCCATATTTTTCTTTTATAGTTTTCTTGCTGTCCTTTCAACGAAATTCATTTTGCGAAGGTAGCAACTGCATATATCGTGCATACACATGCATATACACAATATATCACATATATATGTATGTATGTATGTGTTTGTGTGTATATCATGAAATTTATTTTTAAATTCACTCACACATATTTTTATTTTTATTTTACTTTGTTGTTGTTGCGCCATTGCGTGCTTTTGTACGCCGCATATGCATATATACATATGTATATGTATTTGTGTTTTTCTCTATAGTGACAGCGGCAGCTGCAGCCAAAGCGTTCTGGTGACGTTACCTCACTTTTGAATATGGTTATGTTTTTATGTATATTTGTATGTATGTGTGCTTATGTATGCATATAATTCTGTTGTTGTTCGCCTTGGCTGCTGGCTCTCCTTGGCACTTAGTTTTTCTTCTACATTCAATTGAGTTTTCATTTCGCTGCTGTTGTCGCTTTTGAATGTATTTTCGTTTGATTTTTGTTGTTGGTTTTTGTTGTTTCTCTTTCTGTTTCGTTTGGTGTGTACGCTATTGGTCCACTGATCGGCTCCGAATATCATGTAACACACTGAGCTCAGGCACCGATGTCTATTTTTGGCCATATGTAGATCTCAGCCGCCTGACGTGCCGCCAAATGAACGCGCAGCATCGCATACCGTTGCAATACCGTTGTGGTGCGTGGCAGGAGCATAGAGCATACAGTGTTGCGGTGTATTGTTTTTTTATGAGAAGACTTTTTTAAGTGGTGCTTTATTGCATTTTTATTAATATTTTAATTTAAAATTTTATTTTGATTAA